GTGCATTGCATTGCCTTTGTTGTTATCATCACAGTCATTTTAATTATAAATAGAGGAGGCAGAGAGGCAAAGCTGATATCCGAAAGAATTTTTTTTCTTGTTGTTGGTTAGTTTTAAACGTTATCACAGTGATCTACTGAAAATTATTCATTATTCTGTTACAGTGTGAGAGGATATCAAATTGATATCATTTTCCAGTGTGACAAATATCAGAATTGCAGTAAAACTAGTGATTTTCCTTCCCATAACGGAGAGTGTTGTAAAAATTTTCCTTGGCCTGTTAGAAGAGAGATATAAGTAAATAACCATTCTGACAAAGAATACATGTACAACTTCAAAAATTCAACAAATAATTTGCTTAAATCCATGTTTACCATGTTTCCAATCTCAAATTACGTAGCTATGACGTCTCGACCGCTCAACTATGACGTGATGTAGCCTATAGCTATATTACAAAAAGACAGCTGAACTAATGAAAAATCAAAGAAAATATAATACACACGTGCTTCTCACTTGTGATCTGATCAAAAAATCTTATCACACTTGTGAAATAAATCCCATATTCAACGACAAAACATTGCATACCCTCTATTGAATTTTTTAGTAAAAAAAAAGCTTTAATTCATAAATTTGAAATTTCCATGTTGTGTTCTTTATTCTACATGAAGGATATGGAAATAACGAACTGTATTCAATCTCAACGTCCATTAAACAATATACAAAATAAGAGCAGAGCAAACACGGACCTCCGAAACATCAGAGGTGGGATCAGGTGCCATGGAGGAGTGAGCATCCCCTGCCGACCATATATTTTGCAAACTTGTATTTAAAGTGGCATATATGCAAGATCGGCAGAGTGCTAATTGTAATTTTATATTATAATAATTTGTTCATATAAAGATATTTACAAATGTCACTATAAATAAATAAATAAATGACTTACTTACTTATGAAAACATTTATCTATTCCCCAGTAAAAAAAATCCTACAAGACTTATTAATTAATCAACTTAATATCATTAAACACACTAAATTCTGAGAAAAAAAAATTTAAAATAATTATCTACAACAATTTCAAGTTCTCGAAACATTTTATTCAGTGAATATTGCAGTACTAGTCAGATATGATATTGAACTTTATTTTTATTAGATATCATGAATTCCCTCTTTTTAGTTTGTCTACAGGAAGTATAAAATAGGGAAGATATGTTTAAAGATTAAAGTGCAAAATAATTCCTGAGTTACTGTTTTCTACAAGTTCTATGCTTTTTTAAATAGTTGAACACATGTATTTCAATTCTTTTCTGCGTTACATGCATATGAAACTTATAAGAGAATAATTAACAGAAATGAAAAACATCGATAATGAAAAAACCATAGGTTTCCATGGGTTAAATTGCGGCTTGAATTACGAAAACAGTATTTTCAAAGTGAGTTCAAAAGAAAATTTAAACCTGACATGAGCAATTGTCATCAAATATTTATTGCATGGACCCTGGGGTCGACGCAGAAAATATATGAGCGAACTTAAACCGGATGTCGTATGCAGGTATCAAGCTACACATGCGCCAGAACGCTAGAGAGTTGGCCTAAGACAATTTGTATGTAGAATAACTCGCTCTATTCGATTTTTTCTTCCAGATGTGGTGAGCTAATACATTTACCACTTAAATGTACGTGACGATGTTTGTAAAAGATGAATCATGGGAACTGTTTTGTCATCTAGCATGATTGAACTTTTTTCTTTAACAGAAGTCAGAATTTTTAAAATCTTTTAGAATGCAAAAATTTTCTTAAGAGAACTGAAACCGAATTACATACAAATATTTGCTTAATAATAAAGAAATTAAAATTGTACCTCGAAAGAAATAAGAGTCATTTATCTTTTCCCGTCAGATATATTTAATATGTAGATGAACAGAATTAAACAAATTCAGTTTCAAAGTGAAACTCAGCATTTCCTCATTTGCATTTGGCTATGTTTGACTTAAATCAGTTCAGGAAATTGAATTATTACGATGGAAGTAGGTTGTTTTCATTTCATATATAATTAGTTATACAATCGTTTATTTTTACTTCAAGTGCCAATCCCCATTTTTCTGCCAGATTCTACTCTGCACTGTTTTTTGCCAAAAAAGATATAAACAAATATTTGAATTCGAAAGAGCATTTATTACAGATGCCAATGAAAGATACAACAGTATTGTTTGATATTAAATATTTGTTACACCTGTCACAATCAAAAAAAAAAAAAATTAAAAACAACCCAAAAGGTACATATAATAAAAAATGAAATTCATATCTTAAATTTGCCCTATTTTAATATAGAACAATTATGCATATAGAACTCTATAAATATGTACACATTAAAACACACATCACTAAAAATAGCAAAAAAGATGGGACTTGATTAAAAAACATGCCCATACTTAAAATAAAATGGCCAAAGACTTGGGACTAGCATGAATAAAACAAGATCGGCACTAACTTTATAAAACTTCCTAAAAGGTATTGTAAAGAAAGAACTAGTAACAATTTATGATTGGCAGTTCGTTATATTTCTTTCTGCAAAAATCTATAATCCTACACTATATCAGTTTGTTATCTAATCCTATTGTCATAGAAATAAAAAAAAACGTGCTCCTGAGATTTTTTTATTTAAAGCTTTTTCACAATAAAACTAAGTTAAGAAGTCATGTAAAAAATTTTGCTTTTGAATTTTTGACATATTTGTAAAACAAATGCTCTGTTCAATAGATTTATAGGAAAATTGCATCTTGATGCATTTTAATTCTGAATGAGCTATTTTAATAAAAAAAAAAAAAAAGGATAAACTGCTAATACATGCGCGAGTATATTAAAAATTAAATTTTAATTTCGCTAATTGAGTAAAACCTAAAACCTTCCGCTTTTCAATGATAAACATCTGGGTAAACTCTTAAATATGGATACACAGGGTTTCCAATTGAGTTTCAAACACATAATTTTCAGCAAAATTCACCTTGTTGATATGCAGTTTGTAAACATTCTTCTTTTTATTCATACGCTAGTTCCATGTTTTCGAACTGATATAACTGAAACTTGCTAAAAAGTAAGAATATTAATAGGAATATACTATAATGATTGCAAATAAAAGGAAATAATTGCTTAAATGTTTTTCGTTATTTCCAGCTCATATAATGGAAAAATTACGAAATACTGTAAAAATTCTTATTTAGTAAACAATACCTGTAAAGGTGAGTCAAAGATTTCTTCCTTTTAAGTCAGAATAATTTAGATATTTTCAAGAGAAAACTATATTGTAAAAGAGCATCACTTATATGAAGGTATAATACTGTTTCTTAGTGTACCCTTCCGGATGCTCTGAGTGCATTTTCAAGCTTGCAGGGGGATTGGCGTTAAGAATTGGATGTGATGTTGCCTGTACGTGCCCAGACTGTTAACATATGTTCAACTGTGAGCACAATATAAGTACAAGTCTCCAACTATATACACGATGATAAAAATATATCCCTAAGGAGAGTTGATATACTATTTTTACCCTTGTGTTTCCGTTCGAGTGTGTCTTTCTGTAACAAATAATTGTCGCATTATCTCAGCATCCTCCCTATCACAGATGCTAGAAATTTAAGCACACTTTTTTTCATGTATTCAGTGTATAATGGAGAAATTTTTAACAATTCGGCACAATTTTGAATACTTTATATATTTTGCTTCCGTTTAATTTTCGCCCCTAATTCACCCTAGTCGGAAGTAGGCGAACTTAAAACGGGGCGAATTATAAGTAAACAGTGCACTATCTCAAAAAAAAAACTTTCTGGGCGAATTCAAAACAGGGCAAACTTGTGTCCAAATGTGAAACACGGGGCGAAAACAACCCTGTATACAGTAATTTTAAACTACATGTAGTTAAAAATGTGAGCATCTACCTTCACTAAAACGGGTTTTTTTTTTTGTTTTGTTTTGTTTTGTTTTGTTTTTTGTTTTTTTTTTTTTGTTTTTTTTTTTTTGTTTTGTTTCATAGATAACACATCAGTACTATGATAATGTTTGATATTTTGTAGAAAAAATATCAGTATGTAGAAAAATTAAATCAAGGAAACGATTCATTTTTCAGGACACGTGGTCTCAATCGGCAGGAATATCCTGATCATGCATTGAGAATGAGAAAACTGCATGTTACAACTAAAATGACTTTATGAAAAAAATTAAATCATCTGACTCATGACTTTCAAAGGGTTATATATTAAATTTCTATATATTTCTTTCTCATTGTAATTCAGTTTGATGATATATTTTAATAAGCCATTTCATAACAAAATAAATAAAGTATTCCTGTAACTAGTTGTTAGTTTTTGACATATATGTTCGTGTTAAAGGACTGTTCGCAGTAGCTCAGTCGGTAGAGCGTTCGCTCCGTGATTGGTAGGTCGTGAGTCGCGGCTGACCTAGTCGATAAAATGGGTAGCAACTGTTCCTTCGCCATGCGCTCGGCACTTTGAAGTGAAAGTTGCGGGTCCTTCGGATGAGACCTTACAAAGCGAGGCCCCGTGTCAGCGGCAGGCATTGGCACGATAAAGATCCCTCACTGCTCAATGGCCCTGAGTCCCGAGTAAAGATCAAAATTTGAAGCCCTTCACCGGCATACGATGACGTCTCCATATGAGTGAAAAATTCTCAAGAGGGACGTTAAACAATATACAATCATTCAATCAATCGTGTTAAAGGATGCAGGTGCATTTTGAATGAGCCATCAAACATAAACAAAAATTCAAACTACTAAAATGTGCTCTAGTATACTTAAACGTAAATTATATTTTATTTTCTGAATGTAATTAAACTTGCAAAATCAAATTAAAAATCGAATTCCTAAACATTTCCGCCTTTTGAATGATTAACATCTGGGTAATTACTGAAAGAGTGAGTTGATACACAGAGTTTCCATATAGTTTCAAAACATTTACCTCAAAGTTCACTCTATTGAAATGACGTTTGTAAACCTTCTTTTTGTTTATATGTTACTTCCATTTTTTCGGACTGAAAATAAATCTTGTTATGACAGGTAAAACATTAATATTTATTCTATTTCATATAATACAGAGAATTTTTTTAAAAAGGGTATATAATAATGAAGATGTAAGAAAAAAGTAACGTTTTTTTTATTTTTAAATTCAGCATAGAAAACGGAAAAATTACGAAATGCTGTGTAGATTACTACTTAGTAAACAATACTTGTAAAGGTGAGTCAAAGATTTTTTTTTTAATTCAGAATAATTGTGATGTTTTCAAGAGAAAACTTTACTGTAATAGAACTTCACTTTTATTAAATGTATAATACTGATTCTTAGTGTGCCCTTCTGGATGCTCTGAGTGTAATTGCTTTCAACCTTGTGTGGGATTGACGTATAGAATTGGATGTAATGCTGCCTGTTCTTGTCCAGATTGTAAACGTATTTTCGATTGTAAACAAAATACAGGTAAAGCCCTCCAACTTCATACACGATAATAAAATACATCTCTAAGGAGAATGGTTATACTATTTTGACCCTTGTGATTTTGCCCCGGTGTGTCTTGCCGTAAGAGATTTGTGTCGGTTTCTCAGCAACTGTTCATCACAGGTGCTTGAAATTTTAGCACACTCTTTATTTTTGGTATTTAATGTATAATGCAGGAATTTTAAACAACTGTCAATAACTATAATTATTTTGAATAATTTTAAATTTTAAACTAATTAAAATGTGTGCATAGATAACGATCAAATTGATATCGATAAAATTGGAATGAACCAAATTCACGAGAGTGGAACCAGACACAGTCATTGTGCACTTTAAAGTATTGAAAGATTTTCTGTCCTTGATGAAAAAAATAAAAAAAATTCTGAGATGAATAATTCATATCATGTCAGAGTGTAATAGAGCATATTTTCACTAAAAGATTTGTTAGAAAATCAATTTTCTTTTCATAACAATAATAATCCAAATTTTCAAATTCTTTAAGTGAAACATTCTCATTTGGACTATTCACTTTTAGATACAAACTATGGTCGTTAAACATTGAATACGGTAGGTATGTCATAATGTTCGGTTTTTTTTTTTGTACATGTTTGATGTCAACTCCATATTTATCACTATGTATACACATACAAAAAATTATTTGCAGTTTTATCTGAAACACTCTACGCAGATGCTTAAATTTTATAGACTTTGCAGACATAAATTTGGTGGTTGTAATTTTTTTGTACCAAATAAATCTTCCTGTTTATCCGTGCATCTGTCCGTACAAAGTTTACATTATATCTGAACTTGAGTATATTCGCATAAGAGCGTATCTTCACATAAAACCTGGATTATTATTTATATTATAATAAAATCATGATTTTACAGCTATTTTAATGTCAAGTAATATTTTTGTTGCATCAAAGTAAACTTCCTTTGAGGAATGTTGCAATCATCTTTCAGTTTTTCATCATAATAGAGAAATTCTTTTTTTTAAATGATGCAATATTAATATATGAAGGTTAAAAAGGTGAAATATATCTAATGTTCATTTGTTCTCCTGCCAAACGACTAGCTTTATTTCTTTTGTTAAAAGCAGGAAAAAAACAAAATTAATATCATTTAGAAGTGAAATATGTAATTTATGAAAGTAAATAAAATTACAGGTTATAACAAGAACACATTCATGCATTTCAACACCTCTCAGATGTCAACAACGAAATTGGAAGGCATCATTCAAACCACAAAACCATCAAAAAATACCATATCACATTCCAATTACAGCAATGCTATTATTATCGTCGGAACTCTCCTAACTGTTGTATTTTTAGTAATACTAGTCAGGGAAGTGAGGAAATTTCAAAAAAGATCATTACAACCTCAACATGCAAATAGTGCTGATCCACAACGTTATGAAAATACAGATGGGACTGGTGTTGAAGCAGTAATTCTTCGAAGTATATAAAAAAAAAGTAAATTTGCTTAAGTTGTATCAATGGCAGTGTTACAGAATAGCATGGATTGGTATACTCGTATTTTGGTTGTAATACTGATACTAGAAACGTGGCAAGATAATTCTATTCCTCGTAAAAGGTTTTTTTATTTAAATATTCTTCTTCCATGGCGGAAACATTAATGTAATAATCTTGGTTTTAGAAGAAAAACACATTGTTGGAAGACCTGATCTTCATAGAAAGTATAATAATTAATATACTCATATCAAATGAGAAGAATAATTCATTTCTAGCAGGAAGCTTTAGGATTTATTCAACAGAAATATACATATATCTTTAAAACATCCAAACGAAAGAACTGCTGGACATCTTTTTCTGTGATAATATATGATTATTTACTTTTTGTTGTTTCACATTTTAAATCCTGCATCAACTGAAAACATGAGAAAATGTTAAAGAAAGACATTTCTCAATTATTTGTCATACTGAAATCTTGACTGTATGACTTGAATTATCCTCAGGGATATTAAACATATGTCATATGTACAGTCTTCAGATTCCCAGTTTTGGTATAAAACCAATACATCATATACCAAATTGACAGAGTGTCAAGTTTCTATTACAGATATATTGGATAATTCCTTTTCCGATCCAATGTCTTCGGTTTCAAAATGTGCTGTGCGAAACTGTAAAATCTGTGACATTTTGATAACTGACATTTCTTTCACCAGTAATCTTACTGGACAGAGCTTTTATACCAAAACTGGGGAAAATCTGAACTGCAAATCTTCAAATGTTGTCTATGGAATAGAATGTAATCTGTGTGGACTTATTTATGTCGGTGAAACCAAGGGATCGCTTAACAAAAGAATATCAGGTCATCGATTTCAAATAAATCATGGTGGTCAGCAGCTTTTATATAAACATTTTAATTCACCTGATCATTCTATTTTATCAATGAAAGTTAGAATTCTCGGAAAGATTTATCACACAAATAGTCCGTCGTTGAGTACACCTTTCCGTAGACAACGAGAAGAATTTTGGATTATGAAACTAGGGACAGCCTTTCCCTATGGATGTAATGACAATGTCGTTAGTGTTGGAAATCTTTCAAGCCCGCAGTGTAATAATGTAAATGTGAAGGGAGTTTTTAACAATACTCAGAGACGTAAGCGTAGTCATGGACATCGTTCGTACAATAAACCTGCAATACACGACGTCTCTTTTGATTCATTACTACCTTATGTAAATCAACAGTTAGGTCTACATCATATTCGAACAAAACTTTACTCTGTCCCTTTGAAACTTTTAAATAGTCTTCTTGAAAAGGCCAAGGAACATCCAATTTTAGATTCCTCGTCACCTGAATATAGGCTCTGATCTGTGATTATGGATATTGCATATCATAGGCTTTTTAAACCCGCACGTTTCATGGAAGAAAATCCAGCTAAAACAATCCGTCTTTTCCTTTAACTTCAATATGCCAATAAAGGAATTGACGCGGTTAATATAAGTAATATTCTTAATCACAAAAGGGTCCAGTCTTGTATTCCACCATATTTCAAGTTAAAGACTACACCAAGTATATGCTACAAATATACATCGACCATTGCTTCCAAACTTTTCAATTACAAAAACACTTTACATGGCCTGGATATCGACTATCTGAAAAATAACCCCCCTTCGTGCTCATGTTCTTCTTCGCCCTATAACTATAGTCCTGCTGGACACGTTATTACAGGTGACGTATATATAGTTCGTAATGAGGACCTTAGATCACTTATTTTAAAAAATCCTAAATATAGGGAACCCCGATCCTTCAACTGGCGTCGGAATTTCATAAATATTATGGATTCTGTTGAAAATTACGCCAGACGATGGGCCAGATATGAAAAAGAAGACATTGACACCTTGTCAGAATGAATTAAATGTATCAGATCCATGTTAAAGTCACGTATCAAAAGATTGAGGGGCAAAATGAATACCATGTATCCTTCTGTGTTCAATAAACCAGAAGTGAAAAAAGAATTAGATAGATTACACGATCAGTACATACTGGTTCCTGCCGACAAAGCAGGTAACAACATTGTCTTCGTTTGTAAGGCTCATTATATAAATTGCATTCTAGAAGAACTTTGATTTAATTCTACAAGTGGTAATCCTACTTATACTCATACTTCTCTTTCTAAGGAAGAAATTCTTCAAAATCACCTGTCAGTTTTAAATACTTTTAATATTCCACAGAGCCAAAATGAATTTGAACTACCTTATATATATTGGATTCCGAAACTTCATAAGAATCCTTACAAACAAAGATACATTGCAGGTTCCAGTAAATGTTCAACCAAGCCTCTTTCGTTACTTCTCACTAAAATATTGACAGTAGTGAAGGAAAAACTTCAAGAATACTGTGCAACTATGTATTCAAGAAGTGGTGTGAATCAGATGTGGATACTTAAAAATTCTAAAGAACTTTTGGACAATTTGAAATCACAAGACTTTACAAAAATCAACAGCTTAAAAACTTACGACTTTTCAACTTTATACACAGCGATTCCCCCGGCAAATTAAAATATAGACTTTTTGATATCATTGACAGCTGCTTCTTCAATAAAAAACTGAGCTCGTAAATTTACTTACCTCGTCATTGGTCATTTGAAAAATTATTTTGTTAAAACAGATTCTGATTGTACACATAAGTACTCTGAAGTTGACATCAAGAAGATGCTTGAGTTTCTGATTGACAATATCTCTGTGGTTTTTGGAGATCAGGTATTCCAACAATCTATTGGAATTCCCATGGGTACAAATTGCGCTCCGTTATTAGCAGACTTATTTTTATATTCATATGAAGCAGAATTTATGCAAAATCTTATGCGTGAAAAGAAGAAAACACTTGCTGTGGCCTTCAACTCGACATTTAGATATATCGACGACGTACTGTCAATTAATAATGATAATTTCCATTCCTACGTCGATAAAATATATCCTGGTGAGCTTGAGATAAAAGATACCACAGAGTCCGACACTTCTGCTTCATACTTGGATATTTTACTTGAAAAAGACACTAATGGTAATCTAACAACCAAGCTATATGATAAACGTGATGACTTTAACTTTTCTATCGTCAACTTCCCTTACTTAAGCAGCAATATACCTTCACCACCTTCATACGGAGTATATATATCTCAGTTGATTCGATACGCAAGAGCGTGCTCTACGTATGAACAATTTCTTAAACGAGGTAAATTATTGACAAGCAAGTTGATGAAACAAGAATATCAACAGTCTCGTTTAAAGTCGTCATTTCGTAAATTCTATGGTCGATACAATGACCTTGTCAGCAAATACAATTTATCATTGAGACAAATGCTGACTGACGTTTTTCATACCCATTGTTAGTCCATTATTTATACACTGAATTGACGACGGATTTTTTTACGTTATTTCCTGATCATGACAACGAGCACACGGCGGGCGTGACCGGTCGGCACGAGATGCTCACTCATCCATGGCACCTGATCCCACCTCTGATGTTTCGGAGGTCCGTGTTTGCTCTGCTCTTATTTTGTATATTGTATAATGGACGTTGAGATTGAATACTGTTCGTTATCTCCATATTCTTCTTCTTGACAAATATTTGATATGTCTTTGAAAGGATGTGTCGACCTGTTGCTAAATGTATGTCACACATTCAAAAAGTATATGCCTACTTTTTGTGCATAAACATCATGCACATCATCTGTTTTAGTGTCTGCTGTCTAATTTTTGTGTCATCAAAATACAGTTAAAACCTCATCAGTAGCAAGAAAGAACTCTGTGAACATAAGAAAAATTAAAAATTAAATATCTTCTCATTCATGTCATTGTACTTTTATGTGATAAATAAAAAAAATCGGAAAAAAACTTTCCTTACATCCTTAAGTTGACCGATCATAGGCTATTGAATTTCTAAATTCCTTTTTTATTGAGGAAGTAGATGTCTTTGCTTTCATATTAGACATATCTAATTCACCCTGAGAAGTAAAAATAAATTTGGTTGAAAAATAAGGAGAATTGATTTCAATTATTTTCGGAAATGTTATATCAGATTCGATGTCATAATATCTTGAGAGAATTTAAAAGAATATTTCTGAAGCCTTGTCAATTAATATTGGGATATCTGATGAGTGTACATGATCTACTCGGCTAACATTTAACCATTTCAAAAGTGAACATCTTAAAAAACTGAACAACATAGAATGCAACTTCTGTGCCATGCAGGCGAATGTCTTTCGTGAAATTATTTATATCTGTTTAAGGAATTAATATATCCAAACTCTTAAGGATAGTCCAAAGTGCCTTGACTTGTACATGCTTTAAGACAAGACATCTCAAAAGACTTACACGACACAAACAGAAATATAATAATTTTGAATTATTATAAAATTTTAGACGTTATTTCGAATTTTTTTTCTTTTCCTTTGCACTCTGTTGAATTTAGTAAAGTATTATTAATTAGGAACTGAACTTCATGTATAACAGGGCATGTTATACATTATGTTCCGTAGATTTCCTGCCATATGACTGAGCTTGTTCTTTTTTATATAAAAGCAGGCAAAAACAAATATCATCATATAAAAGTGAAATTTTGACGTTTATTAAAGTAAATGACGAAAGAAGTAAAGCACAATTTAAAAAATGGGGGTAAGAAAAAGGGGACTAAAATATACAGCATAACACACCTAAGGCAGAACATTGTACAATCTGAATCTCGGCACAATAATGACATTGTTACATGATGTACATACGAAAAAAAGGGGGGGGGGGTCAGGCAGTTTAGAATACGACTTCAAACCTTGTAATCTTTTTTAAAAGTGCAATATTCATTTATTACATGTTGACCAATCTATAAACAACATAAGTTTTAAAAAAAAAAAATACTCTGAATAACTGTCTGCCAACGAAAAATAAGGGGGGGGTACAAACAAAATAACAGACAGTCACAATCCAATCAAATATTGGATCCACTCACGTCTTCAGGGTTGTCAGCGAAAAAGGACACATTACCTCATTGCAAATATCCATTATGAGGTACAACTTTTCCCTCTGCTAAAATAAAATGCTCATTTTGTTTCTCAAACGTCACAATGTGTCTCAGATCACATAACGTAATGTAGATTACAATGAGGGTTTCTTAATGCTTTGGTATTTAAAACACTGTACTTATGTCACCAACGACAATAAGCTCATAAGTACTTATCCTAACTTCTTTTAATGTTGTTTATTGATATTTCTTCACTTTTGAAATATGTGCAAATCCACGTGAGTTGAGTTTATATTTTTTCCCTCCAGAATGTGCAAAAAGTGTAATTCACATAAATATGTATGATATAATGAGGCTTTGAGAACGACAATAAAATCCGTGTCCCGGTTTCCCGACCAAGAGATCTCAACAGCTAGGCTACCATGAAGGGCAAGCTTTAGGTAAAAAATGATTTTTGAAACAATACATTTAATTTCAGATTTGTAATGAATGAGAGCTGATAGGCATATTATAATCTCACTCATATGGAGATGAGAAGCTAATTTTATCCTATGCTCGACACTCACAGCTATTGAGTATTGAGGATTTTCGTACCAGCACCATTGCGACACGGGATTTGAATTCATACGGTCTAATCTGAAGGACATCTCTATACGTCATATATACAGTGGGATTCAATCCAATATCGTATAAAAATAAGCATGGAAACAATTAACAGTTTTATTGCATAGAAATAAGGATGTAATTAAGCATTGTAATTATTAATTTACAATACGCCGTCGATATACATTGTATCAAAATGTCGAGTAGAAAGCTTTTTTGATTTTGAACACATTCTACTTTATTTGAATACAAAAATAGGTCTGCTAATAGCGGATCGCCATTGGTACCCATCGAAATTCCTATAGATTCATAGTAAACCTGGTCTCCAAAAACTGCAAAGATATTGTCATTCAGAAACCCAAGCCTCTGTTTGATATCAACTTCAGAGTACTCGTGTGTATAATCAGAATGATTTTTAATAAATTTTGCCAATGACCATTGAAAATGTTTGTAAATTTACGAGTTCTAATTTCATTTAAAAAAAGCTCTCAATAATGTAAAAAAAATCAGGGCTTTAATTTATTGTTGGGAAAAGTTGCATATTAAGTTGAAAGGTTGTAAATTGTTATGCTTGTAATTTTGCAAAAACTTTGTGATTTCAAATTTTACAAAAGTTCTTTACAATTTTTATGTATTTCTATCTTATATATACCAATTCTCGAAAATATTGTTACACAGTACTCCTGATGTATGTCTCTCCTTCACTAGTACTACAGTAACTGTTTATATCTTATTGAGTAGTAAAGAGAGAGGCTTGGTGTTATATATACATAAAGTGGCTATTTTTCTTTGTCTGTAAGCATTTTCATGAAGGTCGCAATCCATATAGATATCTTAAATCAACAATTTTGGTTGTTGGGAATATTTAAGGTATTCAAAACTGGTATATAATTTAAAGAATTTCCTCCTTATAAGAAAGGAAGCTATTGGTATAAGTTGCATATCATATGTAGAATTAAATCTGCACTCTTCTTAAATATAGATTTAAAAAGTGAGCCTTTCAAAGAAAGATAATGTTGATACCTACTTTGTCAGAAGGGACAATACGTTCTGATCGTGCATTCAATTATATTTTGTTTTCAATTCTGAATTATTTAACACAGAGGGATAGTTGTTTGTTTTTTTGTTTTTTTTTGGGGGGGGGGGGGGTTTGTTTGTTTGTTTGTTTGTTGATTTTTTTTTTTTTTTTTTTTTGTTTTGTATTTTACCAATCATTCGCTTAATGGAAGATTTTAATATGCATCTGATTCTCTGGATCCATTCTGACAACATGTTAGAAGGTTTTCTTTTTATGTCAAAAATGTATATTAAGGTTACCTTTCTACTTTAGTGCGTTTAATTGCTCTCTATTCTGACACAAAGGGGATTGAAGATTTTTTTGCAATTAATTGAAAGCAGACCTTAAAACTCCAACGCCAAATTTTTAAACACTCATGGAAATGGGTACTTGACCTTTAAAACTTTTCGGAAATATCACATGTAAATTATTCAATATATGACATTGATAAAGTACTTTTTTGTAATATCGTTTGAAATTACTAAAAATTTTCTCGCTCTGACATTAAGCCAATTTTCAAGCTCTTCCAGAATTTTCAGAAATTTTTTGATCGGATATCTAATTTGATATTGTCAATATTTCATCGACTGGTGTTACAACAGGAAATATTAGAAATTTTATTTAAAGATTTCAAATACATGTTTATTTAGGAGAAAAACCTTTCCTGCTTTTTATCATCTTTGCACTAATTAAGAGGTTGTTTGTTTCAATAAAATCCAATTTTACAATTTTTGAAGCATATGACGCTGTTAAGTATGAGGTTTTGTTACCTTATCGTTTTTGTTCATTTACCACTTTTATGTTTCTGGAGTGCTGCTAGTGAAATTTGCTACGAAAGGTGAGGGCAATTAAATTCCCTAATTTTATTTTAAAAAGTTTTTTCCCATAATTATTTAATTTTGAATGATATATGATATTAAGTTGATTTTTTTTTAGAATAAAAGAAGGAAAAATCACGAAATGTTGTGAAAATTATTATTTAGTGAATAACACATGTATACTAGGTAAGTCTTAAATATTTATAATACCTCGTTAAACATCTTTATGAAATAAACATTTTTATTTGTAAACCTAAACCTTCAATTGAAATAAATGGCAATTACAGTCAGTAAACTATATAAGTTTCTTGCAAGTGGCTATGGTTATTATTTTTTTCTGAGATAGGAGATAGGAAAGTATGGATCTTGATGTATTGGACTGCATGTATGTGAATAGAGAGTATGTAATTATAATGTTCAACTATGGATATACAATAGTGAAAATCTGCTGTTTAATCTTCAAAGATTTTTAAAAAGGGTTTTATATTTTGAAAGTAATATTAAGAATATGATCCTTTGACAAACAAGGTGAAACAAGGTGTTTGTCAATATGCAAAATGACCTTTGCATAAATGGCAATCAGTAAATATATTTGATTCAAGCAAAAGCTTTGAGTTTTAAAAGAAAAAAAAATTTCCCTGTTCTTTTTTTTATGCATACAACTTTGTTGTCTGTCACATGACACAGATATTCTAGTTATTCCTGAACAGGAAATAAAGTCTAATTAGAGAAATTGTCTATCATTTACATGAAAATGAAATTTATATTTCAGAATATAAAATAGATGACCCACAGACTTCAAAGTCTTCAAGAATATTTCCGAAAAGAATCATCGAAAGCACAAATGGAATCAGTAAAGCTAATAGGAATATTCTTACACTTGTTACATATGGATCTTTAATGCTTATTGTGTTCTTTAAGACCGTGACCTGAGAAATTTTCAAGGATTCATTAGGATATACCCGTACAGCTAGGACTGACGACCTAAATTATCTTTAAAATATAGATTAACTGGTGTTTGAATTGAAATTCTTATGACTTTATGAATTCAAAAAAGTACGTAAATTCACCACCATTGTATTTTTGTTGAATTGATACTTTCCAAATATGACGTTATAAATTTAAACTGTCTCCACTTTTTTACAAATCAATGTTTTCCTGGTTAATAATGATCCTGCTGCAAATGTTTAGTTGTTTTCCTTCAATTAAAATTGTTAATCAAAAGAATATTTGTGTTTATGTGTGTGTGGTCATAACTAATCAATTTTAACTGCATTTGGATTTGAAAAAAATAAAAACAACTTTCATTTGACACTACTAAGAGTCTGGAAGATTCTTCACAATAAAGCTGATTCATGATTTGATTACATGTACTATGATGTAAAATGATTACAGCTTTATCAGACTTACTGACACAAGATTGAACGTTTCAATGGCTATTTAATAATAATCTTCAATTTTTACAAACACAAAGGTTTTATACATATTTTTAGAATGGTAATACTCATTACATGGCTCTTATTCCCAATCACAGAAGTTTAAATAAAAGTATCATTAGAAAAATATTTTCAAGAACATTGATACATTATCATTAATTCTAGAGGTCTCTCATTATTAATCAAAGTTAATGATAAAACCAGTAATTAATGTCCCTCGATATAGCCAATTACAATCATTGCATCATCATAAAAGTATTTTAATTTCGCATGAAATAATACAAAAAGTAAAAACACAATCTCATACAAAATCAAAGAAAAAAATTTTTTATTAACTTAAATTTTTGATTTTTTGTTCACAAGTTGAAATTTGCTTTTCCTTAGAATAAAATATTATCTGAAATATAAGAAGATGTGAGATACGTACAAGTATATTTCTTTTTTAATTTCCCTTTACCTAAATTGCATTTACAATCACTGCCAATTTTACAGTCACCTTGGCCATTGTGAAGATAAAAATACATAAGACTGACGTTTTTCATACCAATTGTTAGTCCATTATTTATACACTGAATCGACGACGGTGTAAAGACGAATAATGACCCCCATCAAATAATGACCGGGGGTCATATTTCGCTGTGCTGTCTAAGAATGACCCCCGGTCATTATTCGACGTATAAAAATGACCCTTTTGCCCGTAGAAAACGTGTCACCCCCCTAAAAATTTGCAGAACCCACGTGAAGAAAAATTACCCCCGTAGAAAAATGACTCCATGTGGATTAAAGCTGAAATTTTTAGGGGGAAAAAACAGGTAAAGAAGCATTTTGACCAAAAAGCTCACCTGAGCTTATTTGGAATGAATTGATGATATATGTTGATCTCATAACATACGATTATAGCTATATTTTAAGGTCAATGCGATGATTCAGAATCTAAAGGAGTAAAGATTTATCGAGCCTAAAGGGTTAGGAAAACATTGTTTTTCGATGGTGGAAATCATCGTACTGACAGAAAAAATCAGCAGTATCATATATTATTATATCCTTCGCTTGAAAAGCGGGAGGGTATATAGTGATCGGGATGTCCGTCCGTCCGTCTGTAACGCTTTTGGGTATCCATCTGTTATCCGCAACCCCTCTTATATATAAAACTATATGTTAGTGAAACAGCTAGTATGCCCCTGTATGGCAACATAGCGAAGATTAAACTTTTCTTAAATGCAATTTAAATATAATGGTACCCAACGTAGGGTCTTCTCACAAGAAATACAATTGCAAAATAGGAAAGCCCTAGCACCACTTGTTCAAAATTAGTGGCTAAGGATAAGTTTTTGAAAGGTAGGTCAAAATCAAAGGTCAAAGGGTCAATGTTGACGGTTTCTTAAGAAAAGTTTAATGTAACAAGGATTGCATTTGTGAAGTATGAGAGTACTAGTATCTATCGTTTAAAAGTGTTATAGCCAAAGTAAATTAAAAATTTGGCATTTTTTTTGTAAAATGGGACAAACTCCAAGGTAAAGGTCAAAAGGTCAAATTTGGTGGTACCCAAAGTAAGGTCTTGTCACAAGGAATATACACATATTGAATATGAAAGGCATAGCTACAATAAATGAAAAGTTATGGTCATAGTTAAAGTTTTTGTGGAGAAACAGACTGCCAGATAGACAGACAAACATACAGACTGACACGATAAAACTATATTCCCCCGAATCTTCGATGACAGGGACATAAAAAGAAACGGTCTTAAAAGAACTTTTCATATTATGATACAGTAAAAAGAAGACGTTATAAAAATGAAAATGTTTGTTCTGATTTTCATATTAAATTCTCTGAAAAATATACTCAGAACTGGGTAAAATGGTGGAGTAAAACAAGAATGAAGAAATGTAATGAATATTGTGTGCTAAATCAAAAGGTTATGTCAACATGTATAGTTTTTGCATTATAATGTGTATTTTACACTAGACCATAGCTTAACAGAGCATGTTTTTGGTATTATACCCAGCCCACCCCCTTACTTATTTGGGAGGATTTCGATTATCAACAAAAGCAACACAAAAAACTACCCTACCTGTATTTCTTTATAAGGAGGGACTAAAAATAAGCTTAAAATAATTTACTATTCCACTAATTTTCAACTGTTACTTTGCCACAATACTATTAAGTATACCCCCACCAACATTTAAAGTATGCTTTAATCATGGCGAAGTAAATTATGATATGATAGAACTTGTGTGAAGGCTTAACTTCATTTCAATATTTTATTTAGAGCCTTTTTAAGTATTATTGAAAGGTATAGAGTTTTATTTATATTTTTGCTTTTCATTTTTTTTTTTTTTTTTGATTTAACATATTTTTTTTGGGGGGGGGGGGGAGGTCCTCCTCTTGCATGGTCAAATAGGATTTGCCAAACTTATACAAGCTAAAAGTTGAAATGAAGGAAAAATTAATTTTTCTATTGAAGAGTATTAGAACCTGATTGTTGCATGGTTTGATTTCTGAAAACAAATGGAATATCATTCTTTAAGGCCCTTTCACAATTGGCGCACGAGCAGAAGCGACAAAATATTCGTGCGACCGAATATTTTGTTTATGATCGTAAACTGTTGCCAAAATAATCGCATATGAAAAAAGTGTTCGTACGAAATTCGCACGATCTAAAGCGACTGTTGTGCATTAAATCTTGCGATAGATCGTGCGTCTATATGTGACTGTTGTAGAATGAAAACGAGTGTTGTAAGATAATGCGATAGGAATGCACGTCTGATCAGGTAATCGTACGATTGAACGTGCGACAATACGACTGCTCGTGCGCTCATGCATTCCATAGTACGAATGTTCTTGCGAGTCTGAGGTCTGGGTATATACTGTAGAAGCACAAATATTCGTGGGGATAAAATTTCGTTGATTTGTCATCAAAAATAATTTCGTGGGCATTTAATTTCGTTGTTTTGAGAGTAACCCTATTCAATATACATGTATAGTCATATAAAATTTCGTATGGGATTTCATTTCGTTGATAATTGTTAACAACGAAATAAACGAAATTTAATCCCCCACGAATATTTCTGCATTTACAGTATACCACCCGTTTCCGACGCTCTTCAGTTGACATAGTTAAGATGCTTATAATTATACACGGTATAATATATACCTGTTGCAAAGCATGGCAATTGAAGGTGATAAATCAAGCAATTGTGGTAAAACGTTGCAAGATTACATGAGACATGTTGAGCAACAGTCTCATGGTCGCAAAACACACGCAAAGACAGCTGCAATTAATCTTACGATCTTTAAAAATCGTGCATCAATCTTATGAGTACATAAAACGTAGGCCTTTCAACTAATTTTTCAAGTTGCACATATAGTAAGAACATTTCGTTGATAGATTTATAGGTACATGAAATTATTTAAAAAGATAATAACTTATGCATACATTTAATAACATCATTAAAAAGTTTAATTATTTATAATTGATTTTTCCGATGTTGTGTTTAAAGGATAGGTAACCCAGGTGTGAAAAATGACCAACTAAGTGCCGATTTATGAGTTACCGTTTATAGGAATGACATATAGGCTGCTTCAGCATTGGTATTGTCATATACACAAAAGGGTTCCTTACATTGTTTTGTACACAGAAGTGTTGACCAAAAGAAGTAGAATGCCTTCACTCTACCTGAAATAACAGGGTCAAATAGTTGGGGAACAGACTATATTCAATATTTTTAACTCTCTTTGACGATTATTATGAAGAAGAAAATTTCATGCCATATTTTTTGTTTTCGCGCTTTTTCGCGTCCTATGTAAATATATATATTTTTACAAGTAAATGCAGCAATTGATCATCTTACTTTTGTTATTAAGCACGAAGGGGAACGATCGAGTATAAAAATTTAATTAGGTTAGAACTAGGACGGAGGGTAGATTTCACTTTTTTTTTAATTAAAACTTTTAATTATATGAAGTGAAATGGTGTGCGCAACTATACAGTAAATAAGTTAAACATTGTTGCTACATTTTAAAACCACTGGATTCTGCTGAGAGCAAAGAAACACTTGGGAAATGCTAAAAACTGCCTTGCGTGTAAACAGTCAGATACCCCAAACCTGCTCTCAGCTTGTTTCAACAGTGAGTTATCGTTCATTAAACCGACCCCTAGCGGAAGTTGAAAGGCCTATAAAACGTTGTAAAACGTTCGTACTAATATTCGTGCGTTGAATTGCGATAATTTGGATCGCATTTGGTCGCGTCTGAATAGTGTGCATGTTGACTATTTTGAGGAGACCTGATGCGACCACTAAAACACATGCAATGAATGCGAGACATCGTACAACGTATGCAATAGCTCGTGCGATGCTAAAATTTTCCTATCGCAAAGTGTTGTAAAGTGCTCGTGCGCCAATTGTGAAAGGGCTTTTAAGCAAACACTATAAGGAGGAATATTAAAAAGAAATTTTATTACTTGACAATGAAAGAATCTCTTTTCATTTTAAAGGGGGTCATTTTTCAATGGGGGTCAATTTTTTTATAGGACTAACATATAAAATAATGACCCCTATGACACTTTTTCTACAAAAAATGATTTTTTTTTACGGGTAGGGGGTCATTTTTTGTCGTTGAAAAATGACCCCCGGTCATTATTCGATGGGGGTCATTATTCGTCTTTACAACGGATTTTTTCGTTACTTCCTTGTCGTGAGGGGAAGGGGGTGGCACGCCGCGGCGGGTGAGACAGTCAGCAGGGAATACTCACTCCTCAATGGCACCTGATCACACCTCGGATGTTTAGAGGTCCGTGTTTGCTCTGCTCCTATTTTGTATTGTTTTATGGAGTTTGCGATTAAATATCGTTCGTTATCTCCACATCCTTCATAAACAGACAAGGAATGAAAAAAATATTGCTGATATCCAAATGATATTTTTTATTGTGTTAAGTTCCTGAATCATAAACTTGTTGTTTGAATAATGAAAACTTTTTACAAATGCCAAATATCCAAAAGATGAAATCTAAGTATTTTGAATTCAGCTACAAATATGGAATAAATTTTCAATTTAACGAAATCCAATATGCCGTTTACCTTTAAAATTGCACGCATGCACATAATTGCAAATTCCTTGCACCAAGAGGAAAAATCTTCAAACAGTGCAATGTTGAACGATAAAGGTCCAGACGATACAGAAATATTTTTTTTCTCAACTGTGTTGGAATAAATTTCCATTTTATACGGAAGAAAAATAAACATTGGTATGGAGTAAATACAGTAACACTCAATGCCCGAAATGAAAGAATATTTGAATGTTTAAAAGATACAAAAATATCAGTAATAGTAAGTAAAATGGGTTGGAAATTTACGTAGTTTTCAAACCTGAATTTTCTTCTTCAGCTTCTTATTTTAGTCTTGGGATGTGCTGATTTAGACGTCTGTTTGGTTGGGTAAGTACCGTATATACTCGCCTATAAGTCGATCCGCCTATAAGTCGGTTGTTATTTTTGACGTTATTTTTGTGGGATTTGCTATTGACCCGCTTATAAGTCGGTACAACTTGTTTGCCAAAATCTGGTGACAATTTCAAGTGAATCCATTGATATTTTTACCTGGTTTCAATTAATATTTTTCGAAATGACACTGATATTTAATCTTAAATTATCAAAAATAAAGGCAATGTCACTTAAAATGCAAATAAAATTATCAAAATATGTATATACTTGCACTTTAAATATATAATCTAAGAATACATAAATTATCTTATATATCCAGACAATTTCTTTGATAATCGTCGGAAATGCAAATAAGACAGTACATTTAAGCCCACTGAAAAATACCTGTCTCTTTATGACTCGCCTATAAGTCGGACATAGAGTTTTAGACCAATATTTAACTCCCAAAATACCGACTTATAGGCGAGTATATACGGTATATCTAATATAATTGTTCCTGACAGCGGATTGATAACTTTTTAAGCAATTTTGATTTTAAAGTATAAAGTAAAACAAAATTCATATTAATGCATTTTTTTTCTTTAAAACACTTTTGGTTCTACTTCAGATCAGTTGAAAATAATTCCGATTCCGAATGCTGTTACAATTTTTACAAAGTGAACAATATATGCCAAGGTACGAAATATTATTTTTACTGAGTTACTTGTTTTTAAAAGATGAAATAAGAGTGGGAATAAAAATTCTAAAAAAAAAAAAATCAAATGAAATAATTTTTCAATGACTTTTTTACATGTTCTGTATGCAAATCTGTCAATGAAATTTGAAAGAGACATTTGTTTAGAATGAAATTTTACCTATTCATTGTAATAAAGACAAATAACAGACAAAAAACCTAAATATAGCACTTATTCTGACAATATCTATATAAAAAATTAGTTATCATTTTTTTTTTTTTTGCGCAGTGACATATTCATAGGTATTTCATCAAAATAGAAAATAAGGTTGAGTACAATTATCAAAAGATAATGGTAAAAAACCAACGAAATTCGAGTTTCTCTAAGGATAAAAAAGTATTATTTTGAATTAATTGTAAAATATCTTCCTCTAATCATATTTTGTGCCTAATTTAACTTTTTTTCCTTCAAAGAATGCCTAGCAGGCTATTTTGGAGACAAGTGTAGTATGAAGTTTATGCATCCGGAGTATGGAAAATCCTGTGCATTGAAGTGTGATTGTTCGATTTCACAGTATCACAATGAAAAGGGTTGTTCTAACGATCAACAAGTCAAAAGTAAATGAAAATCTTTTTGTTGTATTCTCAGTGAAATTACTGACACCTTGTGATCAATTCAACTGACTGAATTTCTATTATGTCGATTTTTTTTGTTCAGGTTAAAGTACTTTCTTTTCATAATTATTTGTATCCTTCAGTTGTTGACTCTTATACAAATAACCCCAAAAAGCATTAGAAAATACAACTGTCCTCAGGATTTTCTTAATTTATTTTGGTACAATCATATCAAGATTTCTTGCTTTGTGGATGTTTTTATGAGTTGTACATTATCTATAAAATGTTAATAGAGAATGAAAAAGTGAATATTTACAACAATGATGAACATATTTACGCTGAAATGAAGAACACCAATGATAATAACATTACATAATTAATTAATAATTAAATTAATAATTAAATTAATAATCTTAATTTACAACATTAAATTAATTTATGTAAAACATCTGACATGGCAAGAAGAACAACTCTTATTTTTCTCTTCGCCAGTTTACATTAATCTCTTATCAGCAACTGACCAGATTCAGCTAATTTTGCGCACGCCTTCATTCTTCCAGCGTGCATTGCCTTGTCAACATACATTCGCCAGTCATCTTGATTTGTTTTTGTTGTGAGCCATTCAATCACTTGTTATCGCAGGTACATAAGTCTACTCTGTTAGAAGAATTTCTAATTCAATTTATTGTTGGATTATCCTTTATATAGGTACATTGGTGAGATTCTTTGGATGCTAAAAATTTTGTGTATGCTTTACAATATTTGACGGATTTTGTGTTTGACTGGCGAAATACGTTAATACAATGCTATGGACACCCTGTTTCATGCGCTCATCATCGTAATTACAACTTAGCAGGAGTAAATGAAATGTTGTGAACGTTTACGTATGTTGACTTGAATTTCTTTGTTCTACTTCGCGCCAGTTTGCCGGTCTTGGAACCATGAATGACCTAGTGAACTTTGCGGCTATTAATATATTGCCCAGCATCCAAGATGCATTGCGGTAAACAGTCAAAATGGCGTCTGTTTTGATTGCTGGAATTTCACATGTTAAAAGATTTGTGCACTATGTAAATCAAAATCGAGAATTTCAGAACTTGAATTTAAATCCAAACATTTTTGTAAAATTTTATGGTATAAGTGGAGGAAAGCTGACAAATAATTCCCACTTGCAGGCGTTCGAACAAAAACTTGGGCACGTTTCTCCGGACTTTCTCATCTTACATTTAGGTGGTAACGATCTGGACACAACTTCGTCTGATGAAACATACGCTTATGAGTTATGTTTACGACTTTGTTGTATTGGGGAAACATTTGCCCGTCGTTTCAACATTAAAAAGACAATTGTTTGCCAACTGATGCCGAGATATCGGATACGGGTATTAGATATGAATATTTATAATGAACTAGTAATAAAATTCAATAGAATACTGAAGAGGGAGCTGTTAGGAAAAAACTGTTTGCACCCTTAGAAATGAACGACATGAAACATAAGGTACCGAGTTTACTCTAATCAAATAAATATACGGTTTCACCGTATAAGTGGAAATTTTAGCGAGACGCAAATTTAGCGATTTGTCCTTAAAAACTGGTAATTTATTTTTTGCGAGAATTTAATTCAGGGATTTTAAAATGCACATTAAAGTAGCTATTAGAAATAAAACGCGATTAATTTTTAGCGATATTCAATTTTAGCGATCTCGGCACCCTCGCTAATAATGCCAAAATTAAATCCGCGCTAAAAATTCTACTTTTACGGTATTTGGTGTATGTTGAAGTGCTTGTCTGATAATATATTGATCTTTGCAAAGTTGTGTTTAGATATCATCAATTCTCTCTCTTTAATTTGTCAAACGGGAAGTAAATATTTTTTGGAAGATGTGGTTAAAAAATAAAGTGTAAAAAAAACATCCTGAGTAACTATCCGAGGGCTGTTTAAAAAATAATGACCTGAACTCTATGACATATAACACTGATATCATATGATTTTAAGCTTGGCTTTCTCTCATGATCGAATGAATTGATATCAGTTTATATGACCACTTTTTTCTCATATTTTCATTGTGAGAAGCTTGAAAACATAGGCTATTAGAGACACTGCATTAAAAATGAATAGTAAAGAATAAGTAAACTATAGCGAAATTAAACGCTTTATTAAGGCTGCTGTAAAACTTGTTAAGAATAAAAAAAAATTCACTGAAATTGTTAAATTTCCAGCAATATATCTGTTTTACAGACACATGATCAGGTGGATTTCAATGAACAATAATGATATGATGGGTATCAAAAGTTGGTACCGTCCATGACGATAGGGACTAACAACAACCAGTTTTCCGTTTGCCAAAATTCAACAAATTATCATAAATGAGATATGAAAACAATTAGAAATTGGTTGAAATATTACGGACGTGTGTTTTAATAAAAGAGAATGTTTAAGTTCAATCATTATGAATATTAGAGAGTAAATAACATTTGAAAAAAAAACATCGACAATAATAAAATCCATGGGTTCTATGGGTGAAAACGGTTCATAAATAACGAAAACAATATTTTCAAAGTGATAAAGCAGTCCCACAGCGGCCCCAGAGTAGTTCCACAGCAGTTCCAGAGCGGTCCAAGCAGTCCCAGCGGTCACAGAGAGCAGTCCCAGCAGTCTCAGAAAGCAGTCCCAGCAGTCCCAGTCGGCGGGGCTTATTAATTTAATGGGCGGTGCTAACTCAGACCTGAGATTTCAAATAAACGATATGGAACTATAAAAGGCAGTTAAAATTGATTCTGAGTAGTATGCCAGGAATGCATGTATGCGAAGATCATTATTGAACAATACGCGCATAGAAACAATTTGAATAAAATTTATACAAGGAAAAAAGGTCTTTACACCATATGTTTGAATTACACTGAACATGAATGTTTTAATCACTCTTCCATTTCTTTATTTTCTCTGAGTGATACTGGTTCCCATACTAATTTTTCATACAGAAAATTAAACTTGAATTGATTATTTTCCACCAGAATAAGCTTTAAATAGATGTTATTATTCCACACTATCGGAATATTCTAAAGGCATTTTATTAAGTATTGGGGCTTTTGAAAATTTTTTATTATTTTTAAGTTATGATTATTTTTACTGACATTTCAATTTATTTATTGCTAGTTTCTTTAGATCTATAATACTCAGTTTTAACTGTTTTGTTTGTAATCAATTAAGTGTACATCTGTAAATCACCAGAATGGAACTGACAGATCATCTGATACTGTTCAAAATTAATTAATCCTTAAAGATATTTATACACATTTCATTGATCATTTTTATATTTAATAGAAAAAAAAATTATATTTAATAGAAGTCCCGTGGGGATCAGGGTAAGAATAGGTCCTCAGTATCTCCTTGCTTGTCGTAAAAGGCGACTAAATGGGGCAGTCCTTCGGATGAGACCGTTTAAACCCAGGCCCCGTGTCACAGCAGGTGTGGCACGATAAAGATCCGTCCCTGCTCAAAGGCCGTAAGTGCCGAGCATAGGTCTAAATTTGCAGCCCTTCACCGGCAATGGTGACGTCTCCATATCAGTGAAATATTCTGGAGAGGGGGACGTTAAACAGTATATAATATAATATTTAACAGAAAGAAATTAGGGTCATTGTTGACCAGCATGTTCAATGATGTGTAACACTTATACTTGTACAGTACCCAAATAACACACATGATTGATTGTCTGCCCAAAGGCATTTGAAACCACAGGTATTGATACCATTTTACATACATTAATTGGCTAGGTAAACACAAGCAAACCAAAAACAAATAAATTGCAATTCCCGATGTTATCAAAGTTTATTTTTAAAATAACTGTACTCATTTCATTACCTGTTTATAGATTAAAAACTAATTCATTAATAAAGATGCTTTCTCAATGATTGTTTACATTATTTATTTTACGGAAGAAAGGTAGCATATTTCATTTCATGGTCATTTAATGAATTGTTAGGTTATTTAAGGGTCGCGTGGAATATTTCTTTAGCGTGTTCCTTTTAAAACATGTAGCTTTTTCAATTAAAAAATCTTATATGTAACTATAATAATGTTTTTTAAACTAGTTTCCATGCATATTTGGAGTACACAATTTTACATTAAAAAATAAATTAGGAGTACATGTGAAATTTTTTTCTCATAAACCTATCGTTTTTTAAGGGATAAAAATCTTCCTCTGACTTCCTTATTTAACAACTAATTTTTTTAATAAAAAAAAATATTCTAAACAACATATGAGTAAAAATACAGTCTCTGAAAATATTAATTAACTGCATTTATAATAATCTCTGCTTATTAAAATATTGTAAGAAATCCTTACTTTTTTAATAGTTTAAACTCCACTCTGCATCAAGTATAAACAAAGCAACTGAGAGCCTGCAAATTCAGAATACACAAGGGGTGGAGCTATAATGTCATTCAGAACCTTTGTCACATATGAGTCAACAAAGCAGTCCCAGAAAGCAGTCCAAGGGACAGCTAGGACTGTTGGGTTTGCTTTTTAGAGCAGTCCCATAACGATCGATCCACGGTGGTCCCAGAGCAGTCCCAGAGCGGTCCCAAATCAGTCCTGGTGACTGCTTTCTGGGACTGCTTTGATGTCTGGTTTCCAGTAGTGGACCAACAAAATACATGTACATGTAACTACATTATGTCCACTAATGGGCCAGAGTCAAGGCAGTGTAGCAGCCGCCAATGATAAAACGACAACATCAGCATTCATCATTGGGCCAACAAAGGTGAGAGTCAATCGTATAATTTTGGCAAGTACAATAAACGGGTATAAGAAAATGATGATGACATGACCTAGTTTCTTCTTATTGATGTAATTTAATTGTTTTGTACTCTTTTTAAGACTCTGATGTTTGTACTCCTTTTAAGACTCTGATGTTCAACCAAATTTTTAGCTCTTCGAAATTTTGCAGCTTTTTTTTTATCGGATATCTAAATTGGTATCGTTAATATTCAGGAAACTTTACAAAAAAGACTT